ATTGGGTCTCAACTTCACCGACATGTTGCCCTTCCTCTAGCAATTGATCCCTCCTGATGACGTGTCCAAAGCAAGCTAGTTAAACAGTGTTGTGTGTGACTCATAAGGTTTGCCTTGGCTAATTTTGATTACCAGGCATTTCTTCCTTGTCTTAGTCTGGAAACTGCTGAAATCTGCCCACCACGAGCGAGCCTGTGGGCACTTCAGATATCATACCAGTAACACAGCTGCCAGCATCATAGCAACACAAAAGCCACCACAGTACAACAAACTGACAGGTGAGTGGTAGACTATATGGTCTAAAAAACACACCCAATGCCCTCAAGTTGTTCTAACACATAATGACACTATAAACTAAAACTCACTGCCATCGAGTTGACTGCAACTTGTAGCAACCCCTCCTTGAGTTTCTGAAGCAGTATCACGATGGAAGTAGATTGCCCAACCGTCCTTCCAAGGAGTGGCTGGTGGGTTTGAACTGCCAGCCTTCTGGTTAGCAGTCAAGTGCCTTAGGTACTTAGCCATCAGAGCTCCCAGGGACACTATGGGATGGAGTAAAACTTTCCCATAGGGTTTCCAAGGCTGTGGTCTTTGTGGAAGCAGACTGTCACATCTTTCTCCTGTGGAGTGGCTGGTCGGTTCAAACTACCAACCTTTCAGTTAGCAGTCTAGTGCTTAACCACTGTGCCACCAGGGCTCCTTTGGCAAACAGTGGGTACTTACACTTGTTAGTTTCCTGGCCTCTAAGTGTAAAACTGACATATGTCTTTGTTTTTCTTTCTGGGTCTCCTTTTCTCTTTTCCCTCATCTTATTTATTTGCATTTCATTAAACAAGTACTATTGGACGCCGACTTCATGCTAGCACCATGCAGGCCTGAGCATGCGGTGGAGAGTAAGACCAGGCTCTCACAGAGCTCACTGCTCAATAGCAGTTTCCCCAAGGAGATAACAGCCCATCTGCACCCTGCCTGGGTCTCCCTCTTTATAAAAACCACTTAACTTTTTCGTTAGAAAAGAAAACTCTTTGTAGCCAAGGATTGGGTTTATTGGGACTCTCTGTCCTCTGGAGTCCCTGGATGGTAGAAATGGTTAAACACCCAACTATGAGCCAAAAGGTTGGGGGTTTGAATCCACCTAGAAACACCTTGGAAGATGGGCTTAGCAGTCTGCTTCTGAAAGGTCACAGCCTTGAAAACCGTCTGGAGCAGTTCTGCTCTGCGCTCACACATGTGAGGTCATCAGGAGTCAGAATCAACAAGATGACATCTAACAACAGCCCTATCCCCCAGAGCCTTGCACTGGCTGTGGTGTGAGCCTTGTGAAAGATCACTGAATGAATGAATGGATAAAATATGAAGTTGGTGGGCAGAGTCTTCAGGGCCCCTGGGGTTCACCGCCCTCCCTTTATGCCCTCCTTCACCCAGTACCCACCTCCACCGACCATGCTTTAGAAGGACACTCAGCTCCACCACTCTGCTTAAAGACATACCCCGCCCATTGCTGCCTGCAACCTTCTCTCCATCTGCTGCCTCTGCCTGCTCGGGCTGCAATGTGTAGATACTCTGGCAATGTAGCGGGGGGGCTTTTAAATTGGGATGAGAGACCTGGAAGACTCATTGGCTCCGCAGGAGTGTGTATATGCTGCCTCCCACCCTGGCTTTTGGCCATGGCCCGGCCCCCATCACCTGCCTGTGTCCTTCATCTGTTGTGCCCCATCATCTCCATTTGTGGAGAAAAGACAAGTTGGTTGAGCTGTGAATGGGGTCAGGGTGAGAGGACAGCAGATGAGGGTCCCCCAGGAACACCAGCTCAGGTTGTGGAAGTGAGGAGTAACAGGGCTAAGAGCTTGGGCTTTGGGGGGTGCTCTACCTACATACAGTAGGATGCTGAGATCGAGCCCAAAATAGAACAGGCTCCTCAGTTAATTTAAAGTCCTTGGTTGGCTCCAGAAGGGCCCGGAGTCCTCTGGTATTGGGTGCATGGCTAATTTCTGGGCCATGTATCTTGTTCCAAGGAGACTCAGCTCCCTTCAGAGCCATAGAGCTTGATACTGTCCTGGTTATGGGGACTTCCTTTGGAAGCACAGGAGGGCTGGTGAGTAAGAGGGTTGGTAGAGGCCCATTGGACCCTGGAGGGCTGAAGTAAGGAGGAGCGAACTGAGTTGGGATTGATCTGGTAGAGAAAACCTGCCCGCAGCACTTGGTATTCAAGCCTCCAGTTCACCATCTGGGAAATGGTCGGGACGCTCTCCCGCCTCGCCGCCCCGGGGCAGGGCTGCGGCTAGCACCCGCCTGGAGAACACCCTCAGCCCGCAGGACGCATCGAGAATTGGCGTTAAACTTTGCAGGTTCAGCAGGCCGGCGGCCAGAGGCGGAGGCTTGCACCCGGGCGCCACGGCCCCTCTCGCTGGCGCGCGCACTGCCCGCCCGCCCCCTCTCCCCCTCCCTTCCGCACCCGCTTGGCAGACACGGCCCAGCCTCCTCCCCCCGCCGCTCCCTGCTCGCCGGCTCCTCCTCACTTGCCCGCCGCCCGCGCGCAGCGCAGCGCAGCTCGGCCAGAGCGACCGGGCTGAGCGCGCGTCCGCCTGGGGCTCCAGCTCTGCCCTGCCCGCCACCCCCTGCCTCCGCCTCCCCTTCCCCACTACCTGCCTCCCTCTCTGCGACTCCCACGCGGTCCGCCGCCCAGCAGCCCGTGGCTCGGCGCTCCGCGCTCCCGGCAGCCAAGATGCCCGCGGCCCGGCCGCCTGCCGCGGGACTCGGCGGGATCTCGGTTCTCCTAGCTTTGCTCCTGGGGAGCCCGGCGGCAGCCCTGGCGGGAGGTAAGCGCCCGGAGGGGCGGGCCGGGAAGGGGGCAAAGTTGCCTGCTCGAGTGCCAGGAGGCAGGGGGTCGTGGCTGACCCGGTGAGTCGCGCACCACGCCCAGGATGGTGGGCGGGGGCAGCTGCCCAAATTCGGGGCTGGGAACCGCGTTCCCTTGGCCCGGGCTGTGTGGAGGCGGGGAGGTGTCTGGAGGACTCCAGCGCTTCTCTGTTAGGCTGCGGACTCCCCTGCCGTCCTCTGGGCTCTGAAGCTGACTCTCCTTCGCAGCCCACATGAGCTCCTGGAGTAGGGCTTCCTCCAAACCCCAGATTCTCAGAGCTCTCTGCAACCGCACCCGGGGCTTGGTGCCAGATCATTCTCTCCCTCTTGGAGTGAGGAAGACTGGCGGGGGATAGCTGAGCAGCCTTCCAACAGCGCTTTTCTTGGGGGGGCGGGGGGACGTCATGCTGCTCCTTACCACTCCAGTACCCCTTGCCTCCTGCGGTTCAAGCTGCCCTGAGGGGCTAAGTCACAGATTGATCCCCGGGGTGGGGAAGCAGGACTTGGGTGTGGCTTTCGCACTGAGCCAGGTGGACAGGGCACCAGGCTCTCTGAACTTGGCGGGGGAGGGGGCGGAGATAGTGGGTGGCAGTGGGGAACCTGAGTCGACGACTCCCCCCTTCTCCCTCCCGACAGCGTAACATCTCTGAGCGACAGCCTAGCATCTTTGAGTGCGGTTCTGTTCGGAATTAGGGGAGGGGTATGGTGCTGCCTTCACCCACCACGTGCTTTCTTGGTGGGAGAGGGGGTCTGTTGAGCGAAGAATGAATGAATGGCCTCTCTTCCTTCCCAGGCGTGTAGCCGCACCCTCTCCACCCCACCGAGCTCCCCCAGGAAAAGTTGTGGTGGAGGGTTGAAGAGGAAAAGAGTGTATCATGCCTAACTCATCCAAAGCTAACCCCAAGGGATGTGAGGGTTTGACCAGGCTACTAGGAGACCCAAGTGGTGGAGAAGGTTGTTAGGTCGGTTGCACCCCTCCTGCGCACAAGGCCCAAAGCGGGTTCCCAGAAACGCGGTCCTCACGTGGATATAGCAGGCAGTTGCAGGGTCTACTCGGGCTGAAGATAGCCACAGCATGCACTCTTTTGCCGCCTGGAGTCCCGTGTCTCCTCTGAGCTATCCGGACCTGGACTTAGAGGGCGAAGGTGCCCGTTTCTCCTCTGAGAATAGTGGAGGGACGCGCACCTGCTTTCAGCACCAAGGTTGTGGACAGCTCTCAGCTCCGTGGGCCCCAGCTGTGGGTTTCTTCCCTTCCAACCCTTCTTCCCCGCGGCCTCGAGTGCCCTCCTCAGCATCCATCAGGCATTTTATCCCCCACCCCCCGCGCCCCTTCTCTTTAAATGTGGAACCCGGAGTGCGGAGAAAAGAAATAATCCATCTCCTTTTGTTTAACAATGCATATCATTAAAAAAAAAAAACCTTTTACGAGGCAATAATATTCACAATTTACACGGGGTCTGGACAGTATTCTCTGAAAAAGTGGGAGGAAGAGATTTAGTTTAAGTAAATCGTTTCTACCACAGCATGCCCTTTCTTGATTAGCTACCTCTTGCCAACAATGGCTTGGTGGCTTTGAAGGAGCCCAGATCCCCCTCCCCCGCCTCCTTTTGGATCTGTGCTCGTTACTAACACAGTGAAAGGGGACCCCAAAGCGACCCAGCAGCTTGCTGGCTTTTCAAAAGTGATTTTATCTCTGATGACCACACTCTCCAATACTCCTTCCTCGGGGAGAAAACGTCTTCATGACATATATAGAACTACCATCCAAGACAATTTCATGCCCTGTCTTTCTCCTGTGACTTCAAACACACCCTGTGTATGTATGTGTGTGTGTGTGTGTGTGTGTGTTAATTTTTAGAACATTTCATATTTTACTCCACACTGTGGCTAGCCAGCATATATTTTTAATTAACTTCAGGTCACTGGCAAATTAAAGTCAACTGATGTAGTACTCTAAAGGGCTCATTAATAGCTGTGTGGCTCTGACTCCGGTGCTCTGAGTCACACACAGGAGAGGGAGCCAGGCTAGCCAATGAGCACTGCCAATACTGATGGTGCATTTGGAAACAATTGACCTCCCACAATAGATTCTATTTTTAATTTAGTGTCCAGTGTCCACTAATGTCAGATAGGGAAGCTGGGTGTTGCACACTAGTTCTGTCTGAGGTGGGAGTGTGGAGTGAGGAGGTTTGTAAGTACTTGAAGTGGACTTGTTGCTGCAGTCTTATGTGGGTCACGTGACTCTCTGGGCCATTTTGCTTCAAGGCATGAAGAAATAAAAAGTGTAACTTGTCTGTGAAGCGGCTGCTTATTGTCTAAGAGATGCACATGGAGAATAATGACACCTGCATCCTAAGACTGCAGAGTCTGAGTTTGGTTTCTTTTCCCCTTGAATAAATACACCAAATTCAATAAGCCTGGAATCTGCTACTTCTCCTAGATTTTAATGGGTGTTGTTGTTCGAGTCACTTACAGACTTTCTTCATTACAGAGTGGCATTTTTTTCCATGAAGTTTTGACTGCCCTGTCAGGAGCCACTTTATCTAAGCTTTGGGATCTTGCTTGTGTTCACATGGCTGAGTTAGGCATTGGAAGAATGATGTTACATTCCTTTCCTCCCCCTTTCAAGGAAAAAGATGTTTCTGCAAAACTTGGCCTGTTTTCTGTTTTGCCCTCGCCCCATAAACCCATTCCTGCAAACTGTTTAAAAGGGCTCAAAATATTGGCACTTTGATATGAGCCACTGAGAATTTCTGCAGCACTCCCATGCAGACGTCCACTAGGGGTGCTCAAAGCTACAGCTGGAGATGGAGGGCAGAAGTGAGGTGAGCCCTGTCTGCAGAGCCACCAGGTGTGTGCAGATGCCAAAGCTCAGCAGAGTGGCGCTCTGGCCTGTGTGGAGGTGACCTCACCATTGCCTCTGCTGTCCATCAAGTGCTTACTACTACGTTTGATTCATACTTCCCAGAGACAAGTCGTTGAGGACACTTGACTCATGGAGCCAAGAGGAGGAGGGAAAAGGGGAAAAGAGGACAGGACATTTGCTCCAAGAAGGGCATTGCTGGAATAGGCCACCTGCCCTTTTGATACCAGTTTGTGGCTACATTTATGGAGCCAAATTGAAAAACACCAAAGAGACCATGGCTAGATTGTTCTTGGGAACTTGACCGAGCTGGGCCCTGAAGTTAGATCTATAGAGTTCAGGAAAAGAACTATGGGAGCTTTAGAATAAGCGCAACCTGAATCCAAGGCCCAGCTCTGTTGTTTATGCAAGTCTGACCCTCAGCAACACTGTCTTCCGAGCCTCCATTTTACCATCTGTGCAATGGGAGGGTGGGGTTGATAGTACCAGCTTAGAAGAATGTTTGTAATGATGACATGACATAGGGCATGGGAAGTACCTGGCATGTAGTAGGAACCCATGTAATGTTTACTTGTTTAGAACAAACTGCTTGTGTTCTCTGAGTGGGCATCAAGAAAGCAAATGCGTGTCGGAGCTATTGTGAAGCAGATGTTGGCATACACATCTTGATAGTTTAGGCTAAAGTGAAGGGGGTGGAGGCAGGACACTGAGTAGCCCCAGATGCCTGTATGCTGTTTTTGGCAAGTGAGACTTCCACCTGGCCTGGTGCAGAGTCCCTTCCACTCCAAACTCTCATACCATGTCTGGTTGAACCTCTTCATTGCCCTCAGGAAATTCATGGTAGTGGAGATGTAAGAGATGTGTAGCATGCTAGGCTAGTAGTTAGAAACTCTGGTGATGCAGTGCCTAGGCATTTGACTGCTAATCAGAAGGTTGGCAGTTCAACCCCACCAGCTGCTCCATGAAAGGAAGATGGGGCAATCTACTTCTGTAAAGATGTACCAGCTCAGAAACCCAGCGGGGGTTGCTGTGAATCAGAGTCAACTCGATGGCAGTGAGTTTGGTTTGGTTTTTTGGAAGCTAGTAGTTGGAACAAAGACACAGGAAGAGAGTCTTGTGGGAAAGGGCATCTACTCATTCATTCATTCAACATTGTCTGAGAACTTCTTACGTGTGTAGTAGGCCCTGTATCAGGCACTGGAGATATAGAATGAAATGATGATATGCCCCAATGATGGTAGCCTGGGAAGAGAGATCTGCAGCTAAGCCACAGCATGCAGGCCATGTAGCAAGTGTGTGGGAGCCCAGAGGTCCCTGGGTGGCACAAATGGTTTGCACTCCACTGCTAAACTAAAGGTTGGAGGTTTCAACCCTCCCAACAGTGCCACGGAAAGAAAAGACGTGCCAATCTGCTTCCATAAAGGTTACAGCCAAGAAAACTCTATGGAGGTGTTCTGTTATGTAACCACTGGGCTGCCATGAGTCAGAATGGGCTCAACAGCAACAGGAGAGCAAACGGGAAGGGGTGTTTAATTCTCCCCAGGGGTGGTCAGTGGAGGCGGCCCTGCAGTGTCATGTGATGGGTACCGGCAGCCCGAGGAGAGAGTTCTACAGTAGCACAGAGAAGATAAGGCTTGCGCCATAGTTAAGTTGTGTCAACTTGGCTGGGCCTGGTTTTGAGTGGCTGGGCAGCTGGATGTAGTTATTCTCCATGATGAGACTGGTCATCAGCTCCATGGGGGAATCGACTGTGAGCAGCTGAGCAGGTGCCTGTGGGATGTGGTCTGCTTCCAGGATAGAAGAGTCAGCTTTGAGGAAGGGCTCTGCAGCTTTTTGGCACACTTGGACGCTGCATGTAGCCGAGTCTTCATTCAGCAGCCTGCCATGTCTCCTGCTGATCTTGGGACTGATCTTGGGACTTGGCCTGCTGTGTGGTTTGGTAGCATCGGGACTGTGCCATTTTATTTGTTGACCTTGGGCTTGTCAGCCTCAGCAGCCAGTGGCTGCCTGAGTGAAGAGACACCTCTAGCTCCAGTGGGATGGGAGCAAGAGGCCGAGCTGAAGCCCAAGGCCAAGGGACCTTCACCCAGCCCCTACAGCTTGGCACTTTGGTCTCAGACTCCTAGCTTCCTAAACTGAAAGAGAATAAATTCCTGTTTGTTGAAGCCATCTATTTGTGGTATTTCTGTTAGAGCAGCAGGAGGTAACCAAAACAGTTTCGCTACCCCTCTCCGAACACATCACATACTCACGGGATGGGAGAGATGAAAACAGAGGACTGAGTAGGAGAGGCTGGCAGACAGGTGCACATGTAGTCACATGAGAAACAAAAAACAGGCCTGCCTGTCCTGTTTGTCCTGCCCAGGACTCCGTGGGTTCAGTGCATTAAAGCTGGAACAAAGGACTGTGAGCTGCGGTGCTCACTGTTGTCCACTAGAGGTTGTGATGACATCGACAGAATCTTCCCTGAAGGCCATGAGGCCCAGCTGCAGCACAGACAGCTCTCTGAGCAGCCCTGGGTAAACACTGCTTTACTGGATTGGCATATTTGCATAATCTTATGCTTACTGTACTTCCTTCCAGGCAGCCCTTCGGTGATTGTGAAGATGGGGATGAGGAAGGGGACAGGGCTGCTTGGAGGGGAGAGTAACCGAAGGATGAGTTGGACAGAGGTCAGTGTACCTGAGTGATGTAATTTACTAGAATCTGGCAGGAGCTGTGTCTTCATAATGGGAAGGCTGTTCCAAGCCTTGGAATAAGTGCTTTCTGTAGATTTGTTTGGAGAATCCTCCCCCAAAACCACATAGGGTGGATGGAGTTCTTAATAACCATTTCATGGATCGGGGACATTGAGGCACTGAGAGGTTAAGGGATGTTACCAGCATCGCAAAGCCAAGAAGTGGTGTCGGTCTGGCTTCAAACCTAGGCCTGAGTCAGGATCTGTTAACATCACTTCCCACTATTGCCTCTTAGATCTACATCCCCCTAGCCCATTATGCAGATTCTGCTATCAGTGCTAGGGGTGAAGCTGATAGCATGTTAAATGTATACCCAATGCACCATAGTTGAAAGGTATTTGTTTTAGTCTCTGAACCTGTTTTGACCTGATATATAACACGGGAGTAAAATATCTACCTGCCAAAGTTCTCAAGAACAGTTATTAAGAATGAGTGTGAATGTACCTCCCTCATAGTACCCACTGAGTTGATTCCAACTCATAGCAACCCCCACTGGGTTTCCAAGGCAGTAAATCTTTATGGAAGTAGATTGCCCCATCTTCCT